GCTGAAGGGAATGGAGCCGCGTGAGTGGGGAAACGCACTTATAGACTATCTCGTGGGGCCGGCTCTAACGTATTGGATGTATCTACAGCGAACTATCGATCTAAGCGACTGGACGACCGTAAAGCACCGGCTTTTGGAACGGTTTAACAGAACAATGTCACAGAGCGAACTGCTAACTGAGTTGGCTAAAGTGCGGTGGAATGGTAACCTGAAGGAATACACGGACCGGTTTGCGACTGTAGCGGAGCGGGGCATGAGTCCTACCCCTGCCGAACTCGCGGACTACTACTGCACAGGGCTACCGACTGACCTCCATCTCTCAATAAGTAATGACGGACAAGTGAAATACCTGACGTGGGAACAAGCGGCGATAGCCGCAACTCGGCTCTACGAGCCCAAGCAGAGTGTGCTGGAACTCCGCGAAAGGAACAGTCGAGCCATTAGGGCTGCCTTGCAAGCTAATGGACCCCGCGGGCTCCAGGAAATAGAAAATCGCTCTGGGGGAACCCGAGGAAACTGTTTTGAGTGTTAGGGTCGCGGACACCCGGCATGCGTCTGCCCCAGCAAAGGGAAACGTACCAAGCGTCCAGGGGAAACATGCAAGAAGTGTGGAGGTGTGGAGCACTATGCTCGGGACTCAGGGAGCAATGAACGCGGCCGGCCTGAGCCGGTGGACAAGCGCGGTAGAGCGCCCGCCCGTCCTAACACTGAAACGACGGAGCGATTAAACTTGCGGGCCTAGGCGTAGTTGGAGACGAGCGTTCTAGGCCGCGTAGCCATGGCAAGGGGATGATGTGCGCGGTGGCGACAGGCCCCAATGCCATTCCAGTCTCCCTTGAGAGGAGAAACCAACTCCTCAGCACTGCGGAAGGAACTAACACGAGCGAGGAGCACGAGGAAGAGACTCGGCCGCTCTCGGAAATGCGGTGGAAGTCTGGGCCAACGTCGATCCTGAGTGCGGAGACTCCGGACGCGACGACGGATAGCCGCAGGAAGTCTGCGGAGGCAACAAAGGAAGGCCATGGGTCCGACGTGACAGAGATTCTGCCACACTGGTGGAGGGAGACTTACATGAAAGAGTCTTACGAACAAGGGGGAGCGTTGTGTTGTGTGGGTGCGACGGCGGTACTTCGCGTTGAGCTCGCAGGGAGTCCTTGTGAGGCCCTCTTGGACACTGGGGCTTCGAGAAGTTTCATTAGTCCTAAAATAGTCGAACGACAGCAGCAGAAAGTGCGGAGACTTCCAAAAGAACATAGGTTCACCGTAGCTACAGGTGCACAACTACGCATTGCTCGGGTTGTGACGGGATTGACGCTGTGGTGCGGACATGCACGTTTTTCCGGGGACTCTTTAGTGGGACCCGTTCCCTATGACGTAGTCTTGGGTTTGGATTGGCTGACGGAACACAAGGGGGCCTGGTATTTTCAGTCTGACAAATTCCGAACCTATGTGAATGGCCAGTGGTGCGAGTTACCGGTCGTTCGGACTGGTGAAGCAACGCTGCAACATGATAGTGCACCGTAGTCCACTCAAGGACCCCAGCAGAGCAAGCATATGAGATATTGGCCAAACAAGTGGCGGGTATGTCAGCCGAGGAGGTAGCTCTATTCCTACGCCCGCCTCCAAGGAGGTGCAAGTCCCACGCGAAGACTAAGGCGAAGGTGCGGATAACGTCGCTCTCTCTTCAGGCGGCGGCAGACTTCAGAGCGGAGGCAACAAAGGAAGGCCATGGGTCAGACGTGACAGAGATTCTGCCACACTGGTGGAGGCAGACTTACATGAAAGAGTCTTACGACCAAGGGGGAGCGTTGTGTTGTGCGGGTGCGACGGCGGTACTTCGCGTTGAGCTCGCAGGGAGTCCATGTGAGGCCCTCTTGGACACTGGAGCTTCACGAAGTTTCATTAGTCCTAAAATAGTCGAACGACAGCAGCAGAAAGTGCGGAGACTTCCAAAAGAACATAGGTTCACCGTAGCTACAGGTGCACAACTACGCATTGCTCGGGTTGTGACGGGATTGACGCTGTGGTGCGGACATGCACGTTTTTCCGGGGACTCTTTAGTGGGACCCGTTCCCTATGACGTAGTCTTGGGTTTGGATTGGCTGACGGAACACAAGGTGGCCTGGTATTTTCAGTCTGACAAATTCCGAACCTATGTGAATGGCCAGTGGTGCGAGTTACCGGTCGTTCGGACTGGTGAAGCAACGCTGCAACATGATAGTGCACCGTAGTCCACTCAAGGACCCCAGCAGAGCAAGCATATGAGATATTGGCCAAACAAGTGGCGGGTATGTCAGCCGAGGAGGTAGGTCTATTCCTACGCCCGCCTCCAAGGAGGTGCAAGTCCCACGCGAAGACTAAGGCGAAGGTGCGGATAACGTCGCTCTCTCTTCAGGCGGCGGCAGACACAAAGGATCTCAGGACTCCATTGCACGGTTTGCATCTCATACTGGCTTTGCCCGAAGCCGGTTCTGCAGTGCCCCTAAGGCTGTCGGATGAATGGCAAGGCGCGCTTTGCTGCGCGTTAATTGGGAATCAACCCACGTCCTCCGGCTGGCGTAGTCCTTTGGCCTCAACCGCCTCGGTGGCAGCGGAGAGTGACGAGGAGTCTCCCTGGCCTATGGCAAAACTCG